TCTATGTTTCAGTAACAGTTTGTGTGCAGCTTTAGAATCATAATCAACTGTAAAAACACCTGTAATTTATTCTGTACATGTCAGTAGTGTTTAATATAATTCTCTGATTTTTTTATGCGTCTCTACAATGCCAAATAATAGGAATTATTGCTCCCACTTTGCAGATAAGGAGACTGAGGCCTAGATAAGTAAAGAGAATTGTATTAACCCCCCAGGTAGACAATTTTGTAGCTGAGATTTGAACAATATTCTGACCCATTCCAAAGCCCAGCTCTATCTGTTCACCACACTGCCTCCTCCTTTCACATGATATTTGAACTATTTGTTTCTGGCTACCTGACTAGTCCAATAAATGCTAGGGACCAGAGATTCTCTCTTGCACATATATGTATCTCCAGAAATTGATACTAGGTTTGGTGTGTAGTGAGCACTATTTGATAGTTTCCGCTCAGTATAACAGAATGAATGAACAAATTGGAGGGACTTTGCTTCTCAGAAAATTCAGTCGAGAGAATTTTTTATTCATGTACATCTAAGTTTATGCAGTGAAATGGCCTCAGTATGAATCTGGACATAAGACTGTTGATCTTATTTCCAGGAATCTTGCTAAATTCACTCAGTAGTTTTTACAGCTTTTAGATTCTTTAGGATTTTAAAGCTACATAAACACTTATGTCATCTGCAAATAAAGATAGTTTACCTCTCCCTCTCCAATGCCAATAGTTTATTACTGATAGCTCATTTAGCTCATTCCTTTTTATTGCTGTAGAGAATACAAATCAAATGTTAGAATGTAATTCCTTTAAATATTTAGAAATTTATTATGATCTCTATGATAGAATGTCTAAAAAAGATTTAAAGTTTGAGTTGTTCAAATAAAATAGAAATGCATTTCTTTTTCTAACTTTCTGACTAGTGCAGGGAGTGAGAGACCATCTGAATTCCACCACGAATATTCTCTAGGCTGCTGGCTTTGTCTGCGTGATCAGAGCTTGTCTCTGATGCCCCCTTTCTAGTCTGCAAGAAGCAGGAAAAAGAGAAAGTCCAGATCAAGCAATTTCCTGTTAGGCAAATAAGTGCAAGTTGCCCATATTACTTCTGTTCCTATTTTAAGAGAAAACACAGTCGTATGGTCACAACTACCTGAAGAAGAAGGTGCAAAATGTAATCTCTACCTGGGTAGCTAGAAGAGGGTAGAAAAGATTGGGACCAATGATCAGACTGCCACAGTCTCCAAAAGCAAATATAGTCATACTTTCACTGATCTAATAGCCATACTTTTGAGCAAACCTGCAGGAAAAAAAAAAAAAAGCCACAATACTTTCTAATATGTGAGAATGCCCAAACAGAATGGGCAGACATAGTCCCAAAGTCCTAATCTCTATTTCATGTGCAAGCAGGGGAGTTATTTCATATCTACGGCACACTAACTTAGCACTGTGAGCAAAATTAGAGCCATGAAGAACAAGCTCACATATGGGGTTTTCTCCTGGCATGCTTCAGTTTTTCCTAGGCTGCTGCTGGAAGGAAATGAAACACATCAAAGGTGTGGAAAGGTGGAGGAACGCCACTCGGTGCAGACACTCTGGCTAAAGGGCGAAGTGACAGCTAATGGCCGGCATGGAGACAGCATATAAAGGTACCACAGTCTAGGATCATCTAGCACAGAGAAAACATCCTGGACTTACTTGAGTGTTCTCTAAGGCATCACTGTGCTGCTGCCAAGTATCAAACTGATGTTCATGACGCTGCCCCTGCGAAAATCATCCCTAGAAGAGAAGCCTAGGACTTAATATTATATACATCCTCTCCTTGTCTCTTTACTCTCCCCATTTCCCACACATCAAAAAACAATTCTGGAATAACTTGTGTCCTATTTAAATGACATTTAAATGAACCTTAAGAAAATATCTTGGGCCGGGCGCGGTGGCTCAAGCCTGTAATCCCAGCACTTTGGGAGGCCGAGGCGGGTGGATCACAAGGTCAAGAGATCGAGACCATCCTGGTCAACATGGTGAAACCCCGTCTCTACTAAAAATACAAAAAACTAGCTGGGCATGGTGGCGTGTGCCTGTAATTCCAGCTGCTCAGGAAGCTGAGGCAGGAGAATTGCCTGAACCCAGGAGGTAGAGGTTGCGGTGAGCTGAGATCGCGCCATGGCACTCCAGCCTGGGTAACAAGAGCGAAACTCCGTCTCAAAAAAAAAAAAAAGAAAATATCTTGAATGAGAAAGGATATCTTAAAGGAGGAACCTATAAACTAATGGGATGATTGCACTGTGACCAACGAGGAAGGTTAAATGGATCAATATTCACAGAATGGAGTATTTAGTGCAGCTTAAAAAATATGTTTAATAGATAAAATTAAACTTCTTCCATGGTTCAAGGGTAAAGTTTACCCAGACAGCCTCCTCACCCAATAAAATGAGGTAAACCAGGTATTTATGAGTTAAACTTAATGAGCTGGGCATTCAGTAGTTTCTCATCCTTTTCATACATTATACAGAAAAAACATACTTGATGACAATGAGATCATATTAATGTATATGACTAAAGTTATAGCTTGTATTGGCCATACTTCTCTGTGTGTGTGTGTGTGTGTATGTGTGTACGTGCGTGTGCTTATCAGTTTTCCAAGCCTGGAACTTGGACTTAAGAACAAGTAGGGCTGGGCATGGTGGCTCACGCCTGTAATCCTAGCACTTCGGGAGGCCCAGGTGGGTGGATCACCTAAAGTCAGGAGTTTGAGACCAGGCTGACCCATATGGGGAAACCTCATTTCTTTACCAAAAATAAAAAACTAGCTGAACATGGTGGTGGGCACCTGTTATCCCAGCTACTCGGGAAGCTGAGGCAGGATAATTGCTTGAACTTGGCAGACGGAGGTTGCAGTGATCCACGATGGTGCCACTGTACTCCAGCCTGGGCGACAAGAGCGAAACTCCATCTTAAAAAAAAAAAAAAGAAAAAGTGAATATTAATCAATTCGAGAATTTTCTTTGCCATCACTGTTATGAGATTAATATAAAGGAGGAAAATGATACTGCATGTAGTTCAAAAGGCAGTGATTAGAAAACAATTTATATCTTATTTAAAAATACGTATCTCCATGTATATTTGTGTCTGATTTGGGCATTCCCAATATTCCAAAGAAATAATAAAGTAATACTGCAGAGGTCTTACTTGGGAATTTACAAAGCTTGTAGCTTCCCCACTCTTGGCCTCAGTGGAGCTAAGAATTAAGAGAATTCTGTTAAATGTACAACTCCATACACAATCTTTTGTGTATCTATTGTACTGATTTCAAGCAGCAAAAAGTACCTTTAGAGGGCTTCAGCTCCAAAAGGGGAACTTGCCATAAAGATGCAGAGCAAGAAATTAGGTCTCAAAAACAGAGTAACCAAGACTTAGAAAGTTATCAGAAATCTCTCTGCCTGGTTGCTTCATTTATATGAATCTTTTTATTCTGAAGGACTTTTGCTACTCCTTTAGATCATGGGCAAAAATGTACACATTATTGGTCTACAGAGACAAGCAAATTTGTAATCTCTGAACTATAATTTCAAATTTCCAATCTCTGAACTATAATTTCAAATTTCCAGGAGAAGAAAACCTATTGTCTTGGGTTGTTCAAGTTACTACTCCTAATCCTATCAGCTGTGGCTGATGGAGGAAGATAACATACATAACCAGAGCTAAAAGGAAAATACCCTGATCAAAAGGGAAGCAGTTCCCAGAAAAGGGGGATTACTTAGCGACAAGCAGGTAGCCTCCAAATTGTCTTTAAATATTTAGTCCAGAAATAAGCACTGTGTAAAGAAAACAGATGCTTATATTATAATTCCTAATCTTAAAAAAAATCACAGTCTCACAAACCTATGTATGTATGTGGAGTAAAAGAGTAAAATTTAGCATAATGATTACAAACTAAGTGATGGTTTTGATCAAAAGGGAGCTGGATGTAGTGGGAACATGATGGAACTTAAAATGCAAAGACATGGGTTCAAATCTTGGTTCTGGCCTCTAGTCTTTATAGATCCTTGGATGGGTCACACATTCTTCGTTTGTGGGTATTCATCTTCTTAATTGTAAATGTGGGTGATTATATTTAACTTAAAGGCATTTTGTATGAATTAAATGCAGCACCTACCAAATGGATAAGAGACAGCAGAATCCAGCCTACAACTGTGTGGTTCACTGAGTGTGTTTCATTTTATTTTATTTATTTTTATTTATTTCTCCTTCTTTTTTTGTTGAGATACAGTTTCACTCTTGTTGCTCAGGTTGGTGTGCAGTGGCATGATCTTGGCTCACTGCAACCTCCATCTCCCGGGTTCAAGCAATTCTTCTGCCTCAGCCTCCTAAGTAGCTGGGATTATAGGCACCTGCCACCATGCCCAGCTAATTTTTAGTATTTTTAGTAGAGATGGGGTTTCCCCATGTGGGCCAGGCTGGTCTCGAACTCCTGACCTCAGATGATCCGCCTGCCTTGGCCTCCCAAAGTGCTGGGATTGCAGGAGTGAACCACTGCACCTGGCCTGAGTGTGTTTTAATCACATAACCTTGGTGAAATGATTGGCAATGGATGTTGGCAATAGATGAAGATATAGGTGTCTAACACTAGGTAAGTTTCAAAGCCACCTTTGCTAGATTTAACTGGAAAAAACAGAAGAAAGAAATGATACCAGTATATGACTATTTTAAAGTTGTTGCTTCAATATGCTAGTCAAAGTCTCCCAGAGCTATTTACCATCTCAGGACAATTTGTTCACTTCACTTAGAAATTAGAAATGTGCTCTGGCCAATAAATCTAAATTTATTTTGTAGTAGTCATTTTGCTTAATGGAAGTGTTTTCCAGATGTTGCCTAAGTCTAGTCGTCTGGGCCCTCTTCCAATACATGAGGAAAGTTTGATTTCATAGGTTGGCACTGTTGATTTTGTCTAACCTTTGGACTAACTGGTTCATCCCAGTATATTTGCACTGATATATAAGACTTCCAGGACATTGGAGAAACTCATCTATCCTTTACGGGTAAGTGTCAAAGTTAACTTGCTTCATGAAACTATATGTGTTTTCTTTAGAGGTATTTGAAAAAAATTTATAAGGATAGTAGTTGGAAATTTTTGAAAAGGATTATATTTATGTAATACACCTGTTGGAAGCCTCTGAATTTATATTGAGAGTTAAGGAAAAGTTGGAACAATAACTCCATGATGCTTATTAAATTACATTTTACTGACACTGTTTATTATTTTCCTAAGATAAAATTTTAACCTTGCATTGTTAAGTACATGCTATACTTTGACTAGAGTTTTAAGTCTGTTTTCTATGTTAGATATTTCGTAATTATTATAACTGTCAGTAACATGGCTGAGGGTGACTTGATTTGTTCTGCATAAGATAACATATAGTGGTCAAATATTTTCTATAGAATTAAAGCTGATTTTAAAAGTCTTGTTTTAAGAATGGGATGGTTTTACTATTAAGTTACATTTTTAAAGTTACTGAAATGTATATAATGCAAGCGTAAGTTAGTGGTGAGATTAAAGAGCAGTTTTCTGTTATTTTCTTTTCAGCAAGGGTAGCTACAGTACCTGAAACAACCATGGCGTGGAAAACACTTCCCATTCACCTGCTATTGCTGCTGTCTGTTTTCCTGATTGAGCAAGTTTCATCTCAAGGTACCTTAACCATCAAACATACTTTTATTTAACATCTATGGCTAATCATTAAGTCTTGATTTTTATGACATTGACAGAAATAGATTTCTAAAAAGTTATATTTGCTTGAGTTTAATATATCATACAATTTTACAATAATATGAAACATATGTAGCATGTTCATAAATGCTTTGGAATTTTCATCTTTTTCACCTTTCAAGAGTTTTGAGCTTGTGTAAAGTATAATTTTGGTACTTGGTATTTCTGTGGTTCTCCCAAAAGAGTGAAAGGTGCAGGCAGTTCATGATAAAATTATGCTGGAACTATATAATATCATAAAAATAACTAAAAAGAACACAATATTTAGATAGCATATAATTTTGCCTATATGTTGAATAATTTAGTCTTTTAAATCAAATAAAGTACTGATTGACTTATTTTGGCATCATTTATACACAGACACCATATTATAATAAACTTCATACAACATTTCAAATGGCATTTTATTAGTCTTGAAAATGTTCTCTCTTTCTTACAAGAACAATTCATCCAGGAACGGGCATATACAGATGTGACTGTCATTTTGTATTTTAAAATTGAACTTTTCACAGTCCTCCCAAAACAGGTCCTGGATGAACAGTTCTTGTTATTTATTTTTAGAGAATGTTAAAGCACATTCAACGTAATCACATTAGTAAAAGATGCCAGCATGCCATCTAGATGGATTAAGAGTAATAATGTCAAGCTTTGGATTTTCTTTTCCTTTTCTTTTCCTTTTATTCTCCTTTGATAAGCAAACTCTGAGAGAATAAAAATCAAGATTCACGACGGTTATAATGAAATTACATTTCTAAAGTAAACATTTCTAGTAAAATACTAAGATTCTTATGAAACCTGAATATGAGTGTACCTGCCTGCATAGGCAGAAGTTGCAGTATTGCTTAGATAAGAAAAGATGGGAAAACAAAGGAAAGCAAATGTGAATATTCAAAAGGAATGATGAGTACTCCAGTATCTCCAGACCATTCAGCCTTTTCATAATGATATGACAAGGTTCACAACACTGGCGACACTTTCTAGACCACCTTTTCCTCTGTAATAGAATCAGTTGTTCACTAAACCAATTTTACTTTAATTTTCATTAAAGAAATGAAATTAAAATTAATGGGGCTGGGTACAGTGGCTCACGACCTGTAATCCCAGCACTTTGGGAGGCCTAGGTAGATGGATCATCTAGGGTTAAGAGTTTAAGACCAGCCTGGGCAACAGGGCAAAACCTTGTTTCTATACAAAATACAAAAATTAGCCAGGTGTGGTAGTGCGTGCCTGTAATCCCAACTACTTGGAGGCTGAGGCAGGAGAATCAGGAGGGGGAGGTTGCAGCGAGCTGAGCTCGCACCCCTGCACTCCAGCCTGGGCGACAGACCCAGACTCTGTCTCAAAAATAAATAAATAAAATTAATGATTACAATTAATAGCAATAAAAGTAGGACAGAAGAAAATTTCTTCTCTTTCTTTCTTTCTTTCTGTCTCTCTCTCTCTCTCTTTCTTTTCTTTCTTTCTTTCTTTCTTCTCTTTTTTGAGACAGGGTCTTGCCCTGTCTCCCAGGCTGGAGTGCAGTGGCACGCTCTCGGCTAATTTTTGTATTTTTAGTAAAGACAGGGTTTCACCATGTTGGCCAGGCCAGTCTCGAACTCCTGACCTCAGGTGATCCACCCACCTTGGCCTCCCAAAGTGCTGGGATAACAGATGACTTCTTATTTCAGAAATCTGCCAACTATAAAAGAACAATCTCTTGATACTGTCTTGTCTGCTTCTCTTGCTTTCTCAACCTCTTCTCATTTTCTTTATATATAATATATGTATTTATATACATACACTATATATGCATTTTTGTATGCATTATGCATTCATGTATGCAAAAAGTTCTGAAAGTTGTCTTACAATTTACTGTTTCGTTTGCATATTCAGACTTGTCATTCCTGGACTCTATTAAGATTTGTTTTCAGTGTGTTTCAACATTCCTCTGTGGATTTAAGACATGGCACCTGTCAATTTCTATTCCAGAGATGGATTCCGTTGTCACATTCCTGCAGTCATTTCTCAGGGAAAGTTTTGTGTTGTTTTCCAAATGTCTTTTAAAAAATATTTGAGAATGAGTATGCTTTTGCTATTGTTTGCTTATTTGTTGCTGGGAAAACCTCTGTTCATGACCTTTACAGTTATGCCCAGTTATTTTAAGGGTTCTTACTTAAGCAGTGGTTGTTAGCATCTGGCTTCCCTGACAGTTTAAAAATCCAGTTATCCCCGGGAGTTAAGGAAGAGAAAGCCCAGTATAATTTGTGCTCCTGCAATCAGCTTGCTTTAAATGCATCATCAGGAATGGGCAGCAATGCAGTGGGTGGAAAAATCTCAGGCTTAAAATCAGCTATATGAGAGTTCAAATTCTGGATAGATTGTTTACTTAAGGTGACCATAAGTTAGGACAATTATAAGAAAGAGTTCACTATAAATAATTGGGAGGTATTAATTAACCTATGATACAAATATACTGAAACTATTAACTAGCCGTGTGATACTTAGCAAGTTGTCAAAATTTCTGTATTTCAGCTTTCTTATCTCTAAAAAAGGGCTACTAAATCCCAGAAACCTTTTCATAAGCATTAGAGATAAGGTATGACTCAGTACCTGGCATACAGAAGCTCAATAAATGGCAACTACTAATCATCATAGCCACAGTATCAGCAGTAGCTGTAGCTACCACCTCTCCCTTAGAAATATCACCCTCTTTAGACAAAGCCATTACTTTGCCTACTTTTCAAAAGTGTATTTATCATCTCAGTGTAGTGAAAAATAAAGCAACATGATCGAAATCCCCTAAGACAGCAGCCAAATATCAGCTGGGCCTCTTGCTAACATCATTCCAATACCTTCTCAATCAATACAGTTCTCTCTCACCCAGCGGCTTTGTCCCCGTCATTAGATCGCTCCCTTTCTATAAAGCGGTTTGGCCATATTTACGCCAGTATTGTATAATTTTAGATTTATCAAGCTGTGCAGGGAGATGTGGGGAAGGGTATTCTAGAGATGCCACCTGCAGCTGTGATTTTAACTGCCAACACTACATGGATTGCTGCCTCGATTTCAAGAGAGCCTGCACTGTGGGTAAGTCCTGAGAGTGAGTGTCTCCTCTGTCAAGCCACAGTGTGAGTCTGTGAGTCCCCCTTGCACTTCCGTGCAGCGCTGAGACCGAGCCTCCCCCGCACCCCTTGCAGTACTGTTTTCCCACTGTTTCACTTCCTTTGCTTCAGAGCCTTTTCCTTCACTTGCATAAATGTTGCAGCGCATTGTACCTAAGGATGGTGTCAAAGCTTGTGATTACTGGGGAGGGTAAGGAGAGCCTGGAAATCTGTCACTTGCACGAAGTTACTGACTAGTTCCAAGTAAAATGTCTTATTTTAGAGAAAACGCAGTGAGTCCGTAGCCATTAAGTAAATAGTAAGGAGTAATTATTTACAATGAGAGATGTCCTTGACTAGTAATGAGGGCTTTCAATAGTTTCGTCGAAAGAATAGATGAGCATGAAATAATGTTGTGTACTATTTGACTTTTTCATGTAAATACATTTCTAAATTATCTGGAAAAGGCAATTTAAACAAAAAATGCTAGTGTTTAATGATTAATTTCAGTTAAAACTCGAAGGTCTGAATTTTAAATTATGAGTGGTGTTTCACTTGAACATATTTGGGCCGTTTTGTTAATACAGAAACATTTCCTATTCAATTTAAGAAAATTATAATTAAAATCATTTAAAAGGTATATTTGCTTTAGAATTTTCATGTAAAGCTGAGAAATATATTGTATAATTTTTGTATTGGATAGGTAATTATTTCAAATAGGCCTTGGTAAGTCCCTGGTATTTGTAACCGAGGCTTTTTAAATTTTCATTTTTTAAATGAGTAGTCCTCCCTAATACAGTCCACACTATAAGATTAGGCTAAAAGCTTCCAGCTACACACTTTTCCTGGCTCATTATAAGAAGGGTCTCTGCATTACAAAGACTTTTAAGCCTCAATAGTGGCCCACTTATATGGAATATATATATATACACACACACACACACAAACACATATGCATGTATGTGTGTGTATATATATATTTATGTGGAATATATTGCTGAATCTGAACATTCAATTACTGTAAATCTTTTACAAAGCAGTTATGTGAAAAGAAGGATGAAGAGATTTCATATGAAGCGTACATCACTATTTGGACATTTCCCAATTTTTCACTGTCCATACATGTAAATAACTCAGGCATCATCAGGAAGTCTCTTGGAGTCTTGAAGGGCAAGAAGAGTTACCCTCAGTCACCATATTTCTTTTTTGACTTGGGCTGTCTCCATCTGGGATACCATCTAATTTTTACTGGATGATGTACTCCAAATCTCAAATAAAAGACTTAGAAATGAACTTCTGGAAAGTTAGTCAAGTTTAAGGTGGGAAATGGCTGTCAATACACGGGCCTGGCTTCATAATGAATAATCTGTAACTTCTTGTTTTGCTCTGGGTAGAGCTTTCCTGTAAAGGCCGCTGCTTCGAGTCCTTCGAGAGAGGGAGGGAGTGTGACTGTGATGCCCAGTGTAAGAAGTATGGCAAGTGCTGTCCCGATTATGACAGTTTCTGTGAAGAAGGTAAGCATGCCGGTACCAACCAACGCTTCTCAGTACAGCCAGGTCTGTGCACCTCCCTTCTCATCACTGGTCATGCCTAACACACAGTCCATCTCAGGCCTTGATTTTACTAACATACAAGCTATTTCATAATCATTTTGTTTTGTGAGTGCCTTCCAACAGCAGCAACTCCTGGCTCAGCCAGGCTCCAGGAACACAAGATGTTGCCAAAGGGGGAATAGAGAGGATGGGGCTGAATATACATGCTTTTTTTCCTCCGGATATGGTTCAATTTCAGGTTAAATCAATAGTAATCAACTTACCTGATGATTTCTTGTCTCACACTTGCTGAGTTCACGAAGTCAACTATCCTTTGAGCTATCTGTGCTTTTGGCCTCGGTGTTTTGAGTATATATTTAAGGACACAATCAACACTTTCAGCTTCCCTAAAAAAGTAAATTTATGAATTAGTTTAAGCCATTAAACGTGTAGGCAAATCTACCTAACACATCATTAACTGTCACGTTCCTTCCCATTTCTGCAGTCTCCTCAGTTGACCCTATTCCAATGCATGTGCATGGTAGAGTTAGTAACAAGGGATATTCTCATTTTAAAAATCATCTTCTCTATGTATAGGTCTTGAAGGACTACTCTAGAGTGTAAGAAAAGGCTCCAGATTTTACAAAAGATTAAAAATACATATACTTAAATATTGGATAACTTTCCTTTACCAAATGGTTGTTCTTAAATTCTGTTTTGCTAAAACAAGAGAATCTGTGAAGGTAAAAGTGAAGCTAAGCTTTGCTTGCATAATCAATCTTATCATTTTATTTAAACAAGGCTGCACCTTCTGCTTCTTTAGAACAGTGAAGAAACAGAGTGGAAAACTATTAATCAGCAGAGTTGAGAATATTTCTTAACTGTTCAATGTTTTCATGGGAAAACATTCCAGAAATAATGAAGACAACACCCTTGTAATAAAAAACTCAGAGCTCAGCCTTCCTGCAGCTTTTAGCAGGCCCCATGATGAGTGATACACAGTTACTTATTACCCTGATTGTTTTGGCTATGACACAAAAATCTAAGAATTTATTTTGGGCAGAGAATGCACAGGAAAGGAAGATGATTAGAAGGTGATGAGACATTGAGAGAACATTTTGATAAAGATAATACTTTATGCTATGAAATGTTCGGTTGGATTACTTAAAGTTTAGGTAGAACTCAGTGACAAAAACTGATAAAGGCAACTCTTGGTAACTTTATTTACGGAATTCGTAAGATAGTCAGGGTCCCGACTTAAAATAAGGAAACCACTCAAAGCTTCAACAGTTTATTTTTTAAGTATAATAACTAAACTGTCTTGAGATTCACCACTTAGTTGTTTCAGTATAAATACTACTTACAGGTGTCTATATATCTAAAACAGTAACACTTTAAGAATTAAAGGAATCCCAGCCATCCAAGTGCGTCTGAATGTGAAAGAGAAAACAGAGCCCAAGGGGTTAACTGTTTTTGGCCAAGAGCATTAGCCAGTACAGGGCAGATCTGTTTTTCAAAGGGTGATACTTGATGTTTTTGTTGGGTGGGAGGACAAACGAGGGGCAGTGGCCAGTTCGTGGAGACTATAGCAATGGAGTTCTGAGGTGATGCTGAGGGGAGCAGCACAACTATTACAACTCTTCTGTACTCAGAGAGTCCCCAGTACTCTCTGTTTTCTTATCCTTTAGAAGTCCCTCTTCTTGTTTCTAATGATTAAAAAAAAAAAAAGTTCCATGTTTTCTCTTCTAGACTGAGAAGTGGAAGACGGAAAGGGACTAAAAGGTTAAAAAGATACATACCACGCCACTAACAGTTGGTTATCTTTGGGAAGGGCAGCACATTTTGAGGAAAAGCATAATGTGAAAGTGCGAACTTTTCACAAGAATATTCATGTGGAACTTTTGTAATTATAAAAAGAAACAAAAGGCAAATTGGCATCATTTGAACAAATATTAAAACAAAAAATTTTTTTTCTGAAGGCAAAGACCTTCAGAAATCATCTTGAATAAACATCTGAGTTTGTAGAGAAGAAGATGAAGTTCAAGAGAATTATTTGCCTAAGGTCACAATGGTAGAGGCCCACAGGCCTAGGGCTGGAATTCAGGTCTTCTGATTCCTGAGACTTTGCTCCCTGTCATAACTTACCATTTGAGAATCAATATTTTATAGCAATGCATCCTTAGACTTAAATGGAGTCATTAAGGTTGGGCTGGAGCCTGCCTGCAATGGCTGTCACCAGCATCTGCTCTTGAAGCTAGATGCCATCCATGTTTTTCACAGTTAGAGCTGCTGATGAATATAAAAAAGATGTTAACCGACTTGTCTTGCTTGGCCTCAGTGCATAATCCCACATCACCACCATCTTCAAAGAAAGCACCTCCAGCTCCAGGAGCATCTCAAACCATCAAATCAACAACCAAACGTTCACCCAAACCACCAAACAAGAAGAAGACTAAGAAAGTTGTAGAATCAGAGGAAATAACAGAAGGTAGGAAGATGACAGATATAACCAAAGGAGCTTTCTTAGATGAAGTAACTTGTAGGTGACTGCTTATCTAAGCCTGTTCTCAGAGAACAGGGTAATCTTAGGAATCATGAAGCTTATTACACTTGAAGTTTTTTGACTTCACTTTTAAGTAATGTTTAAGACAAAGTATAAACTCTCAGGTTATTTATAGTCTTTCTCCATTTACCAAACCTAGCATGAGTCTGGGTTAAAACAAATCAAAAGAGACAAATTTTATTATAAAAAACAAAAGCCACTCCATGATTTTCTTTGCAGAATAATTAGATTCTGTGTTTTAGAGGATATGGGAAGGTTGAGAGGTACTAGTAATACTGCTAGTATCTGTGATAAGCCCAGGTGCCTTGTTTTTAACTGACAAATTAAAAGGCAATTGATCATATTACTATAAAAGCAGAACCCAGATACTTGTAGATTAGTAAATAGCACTTCTTGCTGTATTTGGACTGGTGGTTCTTGTTTTGTATTAAATCACAGTTGGTGTGATCAAACTTTCTATTTGATTTATAGAACATTCTGTTTCTGAAAATCAAGAGTCCTCCTCCTCCTCCTCCTCTTCCTCTTCTTCTTCAACTATTCGGAAAATCAAGTCTTCCAAAAATTCAGCTGCTAATAGAGAATTACAGAAGAAACCCAAAGGTTTGAGCATTGATAAAGATCAAAGACTATATCAATGCCATACTAACAATGATTACGTAAAAGTAATGTGTGTTGGTAGAATGAGGACATCTCCATATGGGGGGAGGGAGATACAACTTTATAAATATTATCTTAGAAAGTACCAAATGAATACTTCCTCCAGGAAATTAGTGCCAAGCAGCTAAGAAGCCACTCTTAAAAGCAAAGGATAAGAAGATCCTGTAGCAGTGACTTGGAACCCCAGGATGGCACCAGAGATGATTATTTATGGTGTTCTATTGTCATTCTTGTTTACTTGATATCATTTTGCTTCTTCCCCGTCATCTTCCTTGCATTTTCATTTTCCTTCCCCAGCTTTATTTTAACAAACATTTATATACTACTGTTCTAAGTGTTTTACAAGTATTAATCCACTAAATTCTTATAAACCCCTATGGAAAAAATATTACCATTTTTTACAAATCCTCTTTATTTTCCTCATAACTTATATATCATATCTGGCTGATTTTTCTCTAGTAGAGACTGCTACAGAGTAGGCTGTTACTGCCCCAAAAGAGATTTCCTTTGCTCTTTATTATTTCCTTAAGTTCTGGTTCTAAAATACATTCTCTTTCTCTAGAAACTACTGGATTTTTGGATACGGGAGTTTTAAAGAACTCAAATGGTTGTGATTTCCTCTGAAGCATTCTCTCTAGATAAATAGCCAGATATTTAATCTTTTAGTCACCCAGAAAATCGTGCACAAGTCCACCCTGAGGCTCTGTAGTTCACCTGTGGGGTAGCTGCTATGGGAAAGCCTTGATAAATATTGTCTTTCAGCTGCCATGGCACCCTAATCGCCTCCTTATGTCCCCTGGGACTTGCAAGTTTAGCTGGGCAGAAGAAAAGGAGTGGCTAACAGCCCTATGTATGGGAACAAGCCTCAGCAGGGACTGTGGGGTGACTGGGGCAGACTGCTCAGAGGTAGCTGTAGAGGCCCCTGAGGTAACTGGTGCAGTGAGATGGCAGTACCAGGTTTCCAGGAGGAAGGAAGGGACCCTGGGCACTGAGGAGTAAGAATAGGAAAAGTGAGGGGTAAGGAACATTAATATAAGCAGATGAACTAGTGTTATTTATCATGTTGGTAATTTCAAAGTTGCCACTGACTTCCATGTATTAATTGTATAGGGTTTAATTTGTGTTTTTTCATCCCTTATCTCATTTATTCCCTAAAACCACACAGTAAGATAGGTTGCGTATTTACCATTTTATAACAAATTAAAGGACATAGCAGAGGTTAGCAATTTGCTTAGAAACACACAGCTAGTCAATGATAAAGATGGGATCTTTATGTCACTATTAAAGAAAAAAACTATTTTACACAATAAGATGCATCTTTTTTCTCTAGTAAAAGATAATAAGAAGAACAGAGCTAAAAAGACACATGCCCCCAAACCACCAGTTGAAGATGAAGCTGGAAGTGGATTGGACAATGATGACTTCAAGGTCACCACAACTCCTGACATGCCTACCACCCAGCACAATAAAGTCACCACATCTCCCAAGACTACAACAGCAAAACCAATAAATCCCAGACCCAGTCTTCCGCCTAATTCTGATACATCTAAAGAGACATCTTTGACAGCCGATAAAAAGACAACAGCTGAAACTAAAGAAACTATTAAAACAAATGAACAGACTTCAACTGATGCAAAAGAGAAGACCACTGCTGCTAAAGAGACAAAAGGTGTAGAGAAAACATCTGCTAAAGATTTAGTACCTACATCTAAAGTGCCGGCTATACTTACACCCCAAGCTGAAACTACAACCAAAGGCCCTGCTCTCACCATCTCCAAGGAGCCTGCACCCACCACTCCCAAGCAGCCTGCACCCACCACCACCAAGAAGCCTGCACCCACTACTCCCAAAGAGCCTGCCCCAACTACCCCCAAGGAGCCTGCACCCACCACTCCTAAGGAGCCTGCATCTACCACCACCAAGAAGCCTGCACCCACCACGACCAAGGAGCCCGCACCCATTACTCCTAAGGAGCCTGCATCTACCACTCCCAATGAGCCTGCACCCACCACCACGAAGAAGCCTGCACCCATTACTCCCAAGGAGCCTACATCTACCACCATCAAGGAGCCTGTACCCACCACTCCCAATGAGCCTGCACCCACTACCACCAAGAAGCCTGCACCCATTACTCCCAAGGAGCCTGCAGCCACCACCACCAAGGAGCCTGCACCCACGACTCCCAAGGAGCCTGCAGCCACCACCACCAAAAAGCCTGCACCCACTACTCCCAAGGAGCCTGCACCCACCACTCCCAAGGAGCCTGCAGCCACCACCACCAAGAAGCCTGCACCCACTACTCCCAAGGAGCCTGCACCCACCACTCCCAAGAAGCCTTCCCCAACTACCCCTGAGGAGCCTGCACCTACCACCTCCAAAAAGCCTGCACCCACTAGCCCCGAGGAGCTCATACCCACCACCGTGGATGAGCCTGCTTTCACCACCCCTAAGGGGCCCGCTCCCAGCACCCCTGAGGAACCTGTACCCACCACCCCTGAGGAGCCCGCTCCCACCACCCCCGAGGAACCTGTACCCACCACCCCTGAGGAGCCTGCTCCCACCACCCCCGAGGAACCTGCACCCACCACCCCCGAGGAGCCCGCTCCCACCACTCCCGAGGAGCCTGCACCCACCACCCCCGAGGAGCCCGCTCCCACCACCCCCGAGGAACCTGTACCCACCACCCCCGAGGAGCACGCTCCCACCAATCCCGAGGAACCTGTACCCACCACCCCCCAGGAGCCTGCTCCCAATACCCCTGAGGAATCTGCTCCCACCGCCCCCAAGGAGCCCACTCCCACCACCCCCGAGGAGCCCATACCCACCACCCCTGAGGAGCCTGCTCCCACCACTCCTAAAGAACCTGCTCCAACTGCCCCTAAGGAACCTGCACCCAACACCCCCAAGGAACCTGTACCCACTATGCCCAAGGAGCCTGCCCCAACTACCCCCAAGGAGCTTGCAACCACCACCACCAAGGAGCCCACACCCACCACCTCTGACAAGCCTGCTCCGACTACCCCCGAGGAGTCTACACCTACCACCCCCAAGAAGCCTGAACCCACTACCCCCAAGAAGCCTGTTCCAACTACTCCTGAGACACCTCCTCCAACCACTTCAGAGGCCTCTACTCCAGCTACCACCATGGAGCCTCCCACTAGCACCGAGAGCCCTGATGAATCAACTCCTGAGCTTTCTGCAGAACCCACAACTAAGACTCCTGCATTGACTAACCCTGAAATGACTACGACAGCTAAAGACCAGACAGAAAAAGACATACGTCCTACACCTGCTGCACCTAAGATGACAAAGGAGACAACTACAGCAGAAAAGACTACCGAATCCAAAATGACAAGTACGACCACACAGGTGACATCTCCCACAACTCGAGATACTACACCACTCAAAATGACTACTCTTAGAGCAACTACTCTTGCACCCAAAGTCACTACTACAACAAAAAAGACAATTACTACAACTGAGACTCTGAACACACCTGAACAAACAGCTAACCCAAAAGACACAGCTAATTCTAAAGCAACAACTCCTAAACCTCAAAAGCCAAAAGGCACCCAAGAAAACGTCAAAGCACCCAGAAAGCCCACTTCTACCAAAAAGCCCAAAACAACACCTAGAGTGAGAAAACCGAAGACGACACCAGCTCCCCACAAGATGACATCAACAATGCCGGAGCTGAACCCTACCTCAACAGTGGCAGAAGCCATGATCCAAACCACCGCCAGGCCTAACCAAACTCCAGACTCCAGACTCGTTGAAGTAAATCCAAAGAATGAAGGTGAAAACGGTGCTGAAGGAGAAACACCTCACACGATTTTCAGGCCCCATGTGTTCACACCTATAGTTATTCCAGGCGTGGATTACTTACTGCGAGTACCCAATCAAGGCATTTTCATCAATCCCATGCTTTCAGGTATTAAGAATCAGTTATTTTCATTTTAAAGCTGGTGATGTTAATTTACATCTATCTGAACCAGAACGCCTTAGTTTAGTTATCACTCAACCGAGATGTATTACCTGACCTTGTTAACTTGTGAAGTTTTACAGCTTCCCTGGAGATAAGCAGAGGCGTAACCATAGTAAGCTCATTCATTATCTAGAAAATAGAGTAATAATTTAGGGTTAGGAATTTAGCACATGTGTCTGTGAGCAGCAGAGACGGTATATAGAAGGTCAAAAAAATTTAGTTGGGAGTCTATTCTTAAAAGCACAATGCAAAGCAAAAGTTTGTAGTATTATTTTCCAAACTAACCCAATAGGAGGGCAATTAGAACTGAAAGATGCAATTTTACACTCAGTTCATACATCCAATAAATGTCTAGTTTACATGAAGATCAAGGTAACCCGACCCATTCCCATGAAATATAAATTATTTCATATTATAATTTTTTTTTTTTTTTTGAGATGGAGTTTCGCTCTTGTTACCCAGGCTGGAGTGCAATGGCGCTATCTTGGCTCACCGCAACCTCCGCCTCCTCGGTTCAGGCAATTCTCCTGCCTCAGCCTCCAGAGTAGCTGGGATTACAGGCAAGCACCACCATGCCCAGCTAATTTTTTGCACCTTTAGTAGAGACGGGGTTTCACCATGTTGACCAGGATGGTCTCGATCTCTTGATCTCGTGATCCACCCACCTCGGCCTCCCAAAGTGCTGGGATTACAGGCTTGAGCCACCGCGCCCGGCCTCATATTATAATTTTTTAAAGGGTATCATCTTTAAGTAAAATTATCAAGTATGTAACGATGCAAACACCTCAAACTGTGTCCTTAAAGATCTTAGAAAAGGTAAACAGGAAATAGAAGCTGGTGAAAAAACTTGAAAAGAACATCCATACTTTTCTCATTCTGTTATATTTCTGTTTTATTCATTTGTTTAGATGAGACCAATATATGCAATGGTAAGCCAGTAGATGGACTGACTACTTTGCGCAACGGAACATTAGTTGCATTCCGAGGTGAGCTATGTACACGTTTTTCTTCTCATCATTCTGTTTTGGCATTTATGAGAACCAAAGCCATGGAAGAGTGCTAGTTTGGGTTGTTTTCTAGAGGGGAGTCCGACTGGTAAACAAACCTCACGCGAGAATCTGAAGGTAATAACAGAAATACTGGATTAAGAAAATTGACAAAGTAACAAAACAAAACCAAGACCCTAAACTGAAACTACCAAGGGTTTTTCCTACTGTTAAGCTTTAAAAGGCAGTTCAAATATTTTTTTCGGGGGGGGGGGGGGGGGGGAAGGGTAGTTCAAATGTTAATTTTGTATCAAATGAAATGACACCAGCATGTGTAGCTGCTTTATTGGAAAATAACATCTCAATTGTGATGTGTTCAAAAGTATTATACTGTGGGAGAGCAACAGAAGGTATTTCACGTTAATTCTCTGCTGTACTCTCTGCTAGTCCAGTCTTAATACATATTTACATTAAATCTGAAAACAAAATCACACTTGTACAGTGGAGGCTAAAGAAATGTTAGTCATTAAATTATAATTCTTTAGTTCTAAAAGAAAGAAATTGAGATCTAAAGAGATAAGTAACTGTAAGCCACAACGCCAAAAGGCTCATTTTTGAGAGTCTCTCTGTGTCACCCACACGGGAGTACAGTGGCACAGTAACCGCTCAAGGCAGGCTCGATCTCCTGGGCCCGAGCTATCCTCCTGTCTCAGGCACCTGATTAGCTGGGACTACAGGCGAGTACCACCATGCCTGGCTAATTTTTTTTTTTTTTTTTTTTAAGAGACAGGGTTTTGCCATGTTGCCCATGCTGAAACTCCTGGGCCCAAGCCATCCACCTGCCTTGACCTCCCAAAGTGCTAGGATTACAGGTGTGAATTACTGCACCTGGCCCAACCTATGGGCTCTTTCTAAAGAAACTAGAAAACTAAAATATCTTAAAGGTTGTGCCAAATTTCGGACTTGGGAAATATCTGCTCTCGGAAATGTTCAAACACTACCTTTTGTATCTGACTAAACTTCCAGTCACAAAATAAGTAATGTTTTTCTTTATGAAAACATTCTTTTTTTTTTTCATTTTGGTTTCTTTTGTGATAGGTTTTAGCATTCAACTTGCAGGCTGATGTCTTTCCTTAAATTTTAGGTCATTATTTCTGGACGCTAAGTCCATTCAGTCCACCATCTCCAGCTCGCAGAATCACTGAAGTTTGGGGTATTCCTTCCCCCATTGATACTGTTTTTACTAGATGCAACTGTGAAGGAAAAACTTTCTTCTTTAAGGTAACACAAATATCTTCATGAGAGAAATTTAATTGTAATTTCTAACTGCATTGTTTATTACAACATTAATCACCTTAACCTCCAATATAAATGTCCCCGTTTTTAAATAAACTAGCCTGTCATCAAAATGTAATCATAATTCAACACAATTTGATAATGGTCAACATTCAACCCATGTAACTAGGTTAACATTAACGGTCAACATTCAACCCATGTAACTAGGTAAACATGTTCTATAGTGGAATCTAGAAATGAGTTCCTAATCCTTTTTCTTCCCCAAAGTTGCTAACATCATTTACCCTTTTAAATTCCCAGGATTCTCAGTACTGGCGTTTTACCAATGATATAAAAGATGCAGGGTATCCCAAACCAATTGTAAAAGGATTTAGAGGACTAACTGGACAAATAGTGGCAGCACTTTCAATAGCCAAATACAAAAACCGGCCTGAATCTGTGTATTTTTTCAAGAGAGGTATGTGTAACATAACTGAGATCACAAAACTTTTAAAGAATTATACTCAGTATTTTCATTTATTATTGGGTTTATTGTCAAAAGTTATCCTTAATGGGTGGAATCAAATATTTGCAGCGAAAAAAATAAAAATTGAGGGTAGTTTTCTTATGGCCCTCAATTTTTATTTAGTCTTCTTGACAGGCAAATCACAATTCATTTGAGTTTTCAGGTCACGAGTAGAAAATCATCATTTACTTTCGCTTCACAAACGTGCGTGCTGTCCTTGCACAGGGACCGTATCATTCTAACTTTACGACACGTGCGACCAAAGTGTGCACTTGTCACTTTCAGTTGAAATTAAAACATATAACTGTGTAATTTGCTGCATTTATTCAGTCAACAAATATTTCAAGGTTTAATAATTATTTTTATGATATTCTTGACTAATAGCCATCATTAATATTGGCATATTATATGAAAAAAAGAACAAAATGGACTGCTTCTTATGCACTGTAAAAGTTCTTTTCCACCTTTTCTGAGGGGATTAACATTAATTTTCATTTTCCATGTGATATTCTAATACATAACAGGTGGCAACATCCAGAAGTATATTTATAAACAGGAACCTGTACAGAAGTGCCCTGGAAGAAGGCCTGCTCTAAATTATCCAGTGTACGGAGAAACAACACAGGTTAGGAGACGTCGCTTTGAACGTGCTATTGGACCTTCTCAAACACACACCATCAGAATTCAATATTCACCTGTCAGGCTGCCTTATCAAGACAAAGGTAACATTTTTATTGTGATAAAAAAATCTTTAAACATAAAGTAGATGTAATACAGTTTCTTATACAGTAAGGCTTATGAAATATAAATACTGATCAAACAGCCCTAATAATTTAAGCTTACTGATGAAAAACTCATCCACTTGCTTTAGTGAATAACAAAGACCAATACTTTCTTTTTCCTTGTGGGTAAGGAAAGCAGTTTATTCGGGTTAGTTATAACCAATACTATTATATCAACTATTTCTTAACAAGAACATTATATACCAATCTACAACCCTCAATAGTTGTACATCAGAGGGTAAAATCAGATTAAAACTCAGATCTGTCTGGCTATTTCCAAGATAGTGCATTGCCTTTTCATCTGGTATTTTTTATTAAACTTGTCAGCTACAGATTTCCTTCATAATGAAGTTAAAGTGAGTACACTGTGGAGAGGACTTCCAAATATGGTTACCTCAGCTATAGCACTGCCTAATATCAGAAAACCTGATGGCTATGATTACTATGCCTTTTCTAAAGGTAAGTTATTAACTAATAGCTTTCCAAGGAGGTAGTATCATTTGTGAAAATATGAAGATAAAGTAAAAATGCTGGCTGCAATGATGACTGAATATGAAAAGTTACACTATATTCTAAGTGCTATGGAAAAGAGCTAAGACTTTTGCTTTAATTTCAATTAAACTGAATGGCATTGCAATTCAATTCTGCTCTAACCTTCATAAGATTACAATAAAATATCCAATTACTAGAGTAAACTTGCTCCTGATGATAGTATTTTACTTCAGTCATTTGTGGCATTTAACAGATACCTTGTTTGCAACAAGGTTATACTGATTTGCATCATTACACAGTCTGTAAGATCAGAAAAAAGTTCCTGAGAAACTAATTTTATTAATTAATTACTCAGGATGCTCTTCTTTGAAATGCCCAGAAATCTAAATTATTCTGCCTGTAATTCTATAATATGAATGACATGCGCAGGTATTAAAAATAAACTCAAGTAAATTATTTTTCAAATTACTATTAAATGCTCACTTAATTAAGGAGAGTTGAACCTGATTTTACAAAAAGATGGTGAAAGGTCAATCTTTTGAAACGTCAAAAAAGCTGAAAGGTTGAAAAGTCAAGGAAATTATTTTTCTTTTTGTTAGAAAGTTCAAATTGGTAAAATCATCTATATTCAAATGATAAATATTGTCAGAGCGCAAGAGTCAACACAGTTATTTTTTAGTTTGGGCATTGTTTTCTTTTCAACTAAAAAACTGTTTTCTCTTCCATTTAGATCAATACTATAATATGGATGTGCCTAGTAGAACAGCAAGAGCAATAACTACTCGTTCTGGGCAGACCCTATCCAAAGTTTGGTACAACTGTCCTTAGATTGATGAGCAAAGGAGGAGTCAACTAATGAAGAAAAGAATAATAAATTTTGACACTGAAAAACATTTTATTAATAAAGAATATTGAGACAAGTATACCAATTTAAATATAAAAATGTTTTTAAACTTGACAATCATTACACTAACAGAGATTTGACAATCTTATTCACAGTTGTTATTGTTTACAGACCATTTAATTAATATTTCCTCTATTTATTCCTCCTCTCCCTCCCATTGCATGACTCACACCTGTAAAAGAAAAAAAAAAAAATAGAATCAAATTGAATGTATCTTTTAAGAATTCAAAACTAGTGTATTCACTTACCCTAGTTCATTATAAAGAATATCTAGGCATTGTGGATATAAAACTATTGGGTATTCCACAACTTCAATGGACATTATTACAAGCAGATTAATATTTTTGTGACATGTGGACAATTTTAACAGTTACATTGGAAAACGTGGAAATACTGAAATTTTACATTTTTAGTAGCTAAAATGTAATCACAAAGCTTTATCCTGTTGTATAAAAAAATTTAACAATCTAATGACAATAGAGATACAACAAATGAATATAACACTGTAACACTGTATATTTTCCAAATCTTAATTTGAAGGATATATTTAAAATATAAGTTTATAATTTACAAATTAATTTTATAATTTGGAAGGATATTAAAATCTTAATTTGGAAGGATATATAAAAAATATAACACTTTATATTTTCCAAATCTTAATACCTAAGGAAGAAATCAATAAATATAAAATATAAGCATATACTTATTATATACCTAAGGTATACAAATCTGTTTACATGAAGTTTACAGATGGGTAAATTATCACTTGCTCAACATGTAATTATTTAATAAAACCTTGGAACATAAAAAAAAAAGTAAATTGGAGGCTTAAGGATTAGAAAACTTGTTCCATTTATTACTATCCCACATTCTATCACGTAATCCAGTTATGTTAGAAATTCACCTCTCTGTCTGTTAAACTGACGACCACGGACACCTTGTCTCAATGTTGTCTGAAGTCTTACTCGTCTGAAAGGCTTTGGTTGACTACTGCTAGTATCTACGAAAAACATTAAGATAAAAGGAAGTGAAAAATGAGAAAGCATTTATAATGATGCAGACTTGTCCATTTGCTTTCAATATTTCTTTCTTTTTTTAAACAACGAGGAACATTTAACAAACCCAAAAGGGTAAATGGTTAAACAACAACAACAACAATAAAAGCAGCATTCTGGGAGGCTAAGATGGGAGGATCACTTGAGCTCAGGAGTTTCAGACAAGCCTGGGCAACACAGCGTGACCCTATTTTTACAAAATCATAAAACAATTAGCTGGGCATGGTAAAACATGCTTACAGTCCCAGTTAGGATGCTGAGGCTAGAGGGTCACTTGAGCCTGGGTGAGGCTGAGGCTGCAGTGAGCCATGATCAAGCCACTGTACTCCAGTCTGGGAAACAGGCAAGATACTGCCTCAGAAAAAACAGAAGCACTTGACTGTTTTCACTTCTTCACTTATATTAATATTTACTTCTTGACTCCTAGTGTATCAAGCATAGTGCCAGGTGCAGAGAAATACAATAGAAAACAAACTATCAAGTCCCTCAGCAATAGCCTACAACAGAACACAAATTATATCTGATTCTTTTTCAGACACCCGAAATGCAATCATTAGCAAATCCTGAATGCTCAAATTTAAATATATATCCCAAATCTGACTACTTCTCACAACCCCAACTCTACCGTTCACCTAAGCCGCCACTATCTTTTCCTGAATTACTCCAACAGCCTCCAAAATTTGTCCTTGTTTCTGTCCATTATTCATTTCCAATCTCTTCTGTACACAGCAGCCAAACTGATCAGATAATGTCAGGTCATTATTTGCTTGAAGCCTTCCAATAGCTCCCGGTATCCATGAGAGAGCCAAGGCAATTACAATGATGTGCTTGATCTATCCTCTCCAGCCCCTAACATATCTCCTGCTAGTCTCTGTTCTTATTCACTCTGCTCCAGGCACATGGCCTCCTTGTTGACCCTCAACACAAGCAGACAACTGCTGCCTTATGGACTTGACATCTATTAATATGTTCTTCGATCCAGTACGCTCTTTATTAAATAACTGCACAGCTTTGATCCCTTTCTTCTTTCAGGTCTCTACTTAAATGTCACCTTCTCTTAGTGATGCTTCCTATGAAACTGCCTGCTACATTATCAAGTATTTGTTGACCAAATGAGTAACTACTCAGAAGTACATTTTACATTATCGAATAAATTTAAAGACATCTTAATTTCATATTATACTTTCAAAGGGACCAACCACCGTATTTTCTCATGCAAGTTCTGATAAGATACAGTGCCAATTTTCTTGAGGGAAGCCAATTTTTATGGGACATCAAAATATAACTGGGGGCACAAAAGCTCAGTAATTATTAATATGATAGTTATAAATTTTTTGAGCCTTACTGCCTATGAAATGGTTCTATAATTTACATACATTATTTAAAATCCTGATTGCAAGATTAGTTATGAGTATCCATATTACATAAATGTACAGAAATTTAAAGTTACCAGATATGAAAAGGTAGATATTGGATCTGAACTTAGGGAGGTTAGCCAATAGGCTGATGTGTCACATCAAAGCAGCTGAGAGGCAGGGGAAGAGATCTTGGGATAGCAAAGTTCTGTGATTTTAAAAAAGTAATAAATAACTGAGCAGGTGTGCCATAAAATCTGAAGGTTCCATGGCAGAGTTTGAGAATTACCACTGTAAACAATTCAAAATAAAAATAATCAGAATGACCAACTACTGGAAATCCTTAATAGTAAAGGTAATTCTCTGTCTAAAAATCTGAGCTAGATAAGCTAGCACATTGTATTGTTTAAGAGTGGAGTCTCTGGAGCCAGACTTCTTCAGTTTAATTGTTGCTTGTCCATTACTTAATAGCTATTTCACTTTGAAGAGGTTATTCACCCTTTCTGTGCCTCAGCTTCCACATCTATAGAATGTGGATGAATATCTACCGCATTGAGTTGTGAGAATCAAAGGAGTATATACAGGTAAAGGGCTCAGAATACTGCCTGATACACAGTAAGTGTCCAGTAAATGCTATCGTTCTAAAAAAAACTTTTATTACAGAAATAATACATCTTTTTTCAAAATTAACTTCAAAAATCTGAAAAGCCAAACTCTGAAACTGTTTACCTCAGTAAATTTCGAACAATTTTTTTAAGCAACAGAACTCCTACCCCTCAACTCTCTACATCAAATCTCATGTAGAACCCCAGTATGCAGAATAATAAAAATGGACCTGCTGTGGTCCAAACAGAGGCAAGGGGTCTGGCATACCCTAGCACTCCTTAGCTTCCCTCCCAGTGTACCCATCGACTACAACCCCCATAGCATCTCTAAAAGACCCAAGAGCTCTACAGAACATCTGTCGACAACCATTATTCTAGATGAAACGAGAGTGAGCTATTCTTTTGGGATGGATCCACCATGTCCATATTTCTTATTATCAATGCCAGAATATTCTTAGAATAATGATTTCAATATAAACCAAGTTTCCTTTAATAATAAAATTTCTCTATTAAATAAAGCATTTTAAAATAAAGGAAACAAGGATTTTTAATTTGTTACTTTTAAAGCAGTATTTTCACAAACAAGTTTGATGTATAAAAGTTGTATTGTGGTCAAGGGCAGGGACTCACCTACAGAGGAGCTGGAAGGAGGATCCTGGCTGGTCGAGGGGAGATCTGACTCATCAGATGCTTGAACCGGCTCTTCTTCCTGTTGGCTATCAATTTCTAGGCCTGCTTCTGAACTAATACTAAGGAAAAGAAAAATTAATTAGAAAATATAAAACTGATTGTAGGGCCTATCCTATTTCCACTCTTTTAAATCTATTTTATCACTTAAGTAATCCAGAGCTCCCTTAAGGAAAAAAATTACAGCCTCATTTGGTAACCATATATATTTTTCAAAGGGGCAGAGGGGAAAACAGTTCAAACTGTTGCTTTTTCCTCACTCCGTTTCTCACTATGACATGTTCCAGTTTTAGTTTATGATTTTCCTTTTTAGGCTTTCTTTTTCCTTTTGACAAGGACGTTCACATTCTTGACATTCATAAGAAAATATATGGTCCAGATTTTGATAAATCTCAACACATTTTAGGAAAGCACAGTATTAAAAAGTTCACAAGTCACACTATTAAACAGTATATTAGTAACTAAACCACGGGCTCTAGCCCAGATGACACAGGCAATAGGTATGTAGAATTCCTGGCTCAGTGGCTACAACTCCATCTTTCTCTCTTCCTTTCAAGACACAAATGAGGAAGATGGTACAAGAATAACATGAATCTGCTCCAGTTTAAGTTATTTGCAAACTTCATTAGCTAACAATTCATCTGAGTATCTCCCGGGACTGTGCCGAAACTGAATTCTGTTTAAGTGTACAGAGTATGGGCTGAAGTCAGGGCTTCCAATCCATTCTGAGCTGCTTCTTCCCAAGTAGTGCAGCTTAAGCAAGTTCTTTTAACATGCTATCAGCCTCAGTTTTCTTATTTGTATAATAAAGACAATGCTTAAAAGGGATACTGTATAGGTTAGAAATGACATTTGTAAAGTGACTTGCATATGTGGTACAGAATTAATGTCAGCTAGTATTTTCAAAAGGGTCTGTAACCTCTCAAAATTAAGCAGCACTATGTTAAAGAATAACAAAAGAATCACAACAGACCTGCTTTTGTCATCATAAACAAGAGTTGGCCTATAATTACTCTAAAAAGTCACTAAATAAAATAAATCCTTGAGTTCTATTAGGAAATCTGGGTTCTACTTCTTAGCTATGCTTCTGATTATGAGGTAGTCCAACCTTTTCATTTTATTAAAAATTAGACTTGGCACAGTGGCTCATGCCTGTAATCCCAAATGTTGGGAGTCTGAGGTGGGAGGATCACTTGAGGCCAGGAGTTCGAGGCTGCAGTGAGCTGTGAGTGCACCACTGTACTCCAGCCTAGGTGACAAGCAAGTCCCCATCTCATAAAAAAAATAGGTTCCATTTTGAAAATCATCTTTTCTAAGGTCACTGTCCAATGGTTCTTTCCATTAAATCACTCCATTACCATTGGCTTATAAATAATAATAACA